TTCCCACTTCCGTAACTTTATCATCTCTCATGCTGCCTGATATTCTCTGGGAAGAGGGCCTTAAACTGGAGCGTTTTCTATGCATTCCATCTTTGTAGTTTAGGTAATGCATCTTACTTGATATATTTATTTTTCAGAACATCACTCTACTCAAATTCAAGAAAATCCAAAGTAATCCTAACCATAATCAAACTTTTGACTTCAAAAATTGCTCTTCTCTTTAAGCATAGATAATCAAATTATACTTGCAGTAGAAATGTGCACTGAGGACCTGGTTTGTGTGTGTGTACATTTTTTTCAGGGAGTTAGGAGGTGCTCACCTCATGATTGCTTTTGTGGCTTGTTTTAAGTAGCAATACCCCATGCTTTCTTTCTGGGGAACTACAAACAGATGGTGCCATCCCAGATGAGTTCTCCTTCCTCTTTCCACAAACCATAAAGAACAAACTTGAAACCATGCTAGTTTTGGGTGTTTTTGGTTTTTTAGCTAGGTGGGCAAAACTGGAAAAAGCAAAACACAGCCAAACTTAACAAGGATTCCCCCACGTACCCTTTGGTCCCACAACCCTTTATTTCTATGAAAGACTTGCTCAACCCTGAGGTGTAGCGGGTGGAATGAAGAAACAACATAAGCTGGGATTTGCAGAAATATGGAACAGTATGTAAGTACTAGGAGGGCAGGGTCTCTTGCCTGTTGGGTTCAGTGTTGTAGTCCCAATCCCTAGAATGGTGCTCAAGAAATATTTGCTTAATGAATGAATGAAAGGAAGATGTGGAACAAATAATGATTGGGAAAGATCCCATAAAGGCTCTTCCAGTGCTGAGTTTAGTAACTGTAGGCTGAGACTCACATAGGTCATGAAATCAATTTAGTGAGATTTGACTAGCATATATATATATATATATTTTAAGGAAGGAACTAGAACAGAATAGAAAATATCTTAGTAAGGGGAAATATAGTTTTGTAAAACTGCTGTTTCAGACACATACCTAGGATTGCAATGTAAAATATGTTTCTTACTGGTTAAAAAAAAAGTTGGAGAAAAATGCTTGCCTAAGGGTATTAAGACACAGATTCCCAGGCTCAGGCCAGGACTTCCTGGATCAGAATCTCAGGAATTTTGCACTTTGAACAAGTTCCCGCGGGGATTCTGATATACTCTAAATTTTAGTATCTCCAGTCTGAAAGCCACTGTAGGATCTGAAATTTCAAGCATTTAACAGTCATAGAAGAGCTGATCAGCAAATTAGTTCAACTCCATTTTCATTCTATCACCTCTTTAAAGGGTGGGGGACAAGAATCTCATGACCATAAATAAAATGTTATTGTCCTCTTTCCGCCTGTTACTGACCTAATTGCTGGACCATTTCCTCCCCAAGTCTTTCCATACACTCACTCCAAGGGCCAATCGGACCTGTTGTGCTACAGGTTGGCCACAGAGCTTTCATCTTCCAAGATAAACAGATGAAGAGGATTTAGTTGCCAGATGTAAGGCTGGACGGGGGCCTGAGGGAGACATTGCTTAGCAAAGAACAAAAAGTCGCAGCCCAGAACCAGTCATCAGATATCTATGTACAGCAGGTGTGGCCTGCTCTACCCTAATCCTGGCAAAGCTAATAGCCACCTGTCCTGACAACTGCAGACAAAACTCCTTGGAATGACAATCTGGCTCCACTGGAGGCCCAGGCTTCCAAAGGCCCATTGGGAATCCTCTATACCAGCTGTCCCTCATCCTGCAACATTGGGTTCACCCTTCCCCCTCCATACCAATTAAGCAACCTCTGCTGTAAGTCCATGTACATTGGTTTCCCTCTGTGCCTCTCTATAGGCAATAAACATAAAAGTCACTATTCTTTCTCTCTCACTTCAGATACATACTTTTCAAGTCAACTTTAACAACGATCAAGACACTGATGACACCATTTTCAATCCTTCTCTTTCCGCAGAACCTCCATTTTTGTTGAGTGGAAGGAGGAAGATCTTCCACATCCACCTGAACGGGAATCACTGCAGGAGACCTCTGCCTCTGGGAGGCTTTGGGTTACTTGGGCACAGAAGGCTTCCTCCCTGTGGCCCCCTACAGCACTCACTGCCTAAGCTACTCATCTGCTGCTAATCTCCATGAATTGCTGTGTGTGAACTGCTCTTATTTTTTATTGTATTTTCTACTCAACTTTACTTGCAAATCCCTGGGAGACAGCAAAGACTCCAGAAACTTCTGTCTTGTTCCCACAGTGCCTTGCCTAAAAAAAAAAGTATTTTTCACTTGTGGAAGGGCATATAGCAATCACACTATGTCAAAAGCTATCGGCACTGAACAAGTTAATAAAAAGCTGTTCATCTAAGCAGGAAGTATCTTTCACCATATTTGGTTGGTCAAGCACAAAATTGCTAGGGCTACATTCCAGACATGAAAAACAGCGGTGAGCATTAAATTTTGAAGGAAAAAAATTCTACACTAACAGGGTCAGACTAACAGTATTAAAAACAAAAAAATAAAATAAAATAAAAGCCCATTAGCCTCCAAAATTGGTGTCAGGAATTTTGTTGGTTTATTTATTGAGTGTTATGGGTCAGTGGCATGCTAAGGGTTTTACATCACTCTCATTTAATCTTCACAATGACCTGTGAAGCGGGTATTACTACAGCACTCCATTTCACAGATGAAGGAACTAAGGCAGAGAAAGCAATGTTCCAAGGCTGGTAAACAGCAGAATAAGGATTCAAACTCAGATCTGACTTCACTACAACCCTCTACTGCCTCTCTAATTAATCCAGTTCCTGATATATATTCTCAGACCATAAATTAGACAAAGTTCTCTTTCCTAAAGAAAAGGCTGAAAACAAATGTATTTTTTTTTTAATTAAGAAAGTAGAGGAACACTTCACGAATCTGCATGTCATCCTTGCGCAGGGGCCATGCTAATCTTCTCTGTATTTCCAATTTTAGTATATGTGCTGCTGAAGTGAGAGAGCAACCAACCAACTAAAACAACCAATCTATCAACCCTTCTGCAAAGGAAACCAGATGGGAGGATTTACGAACATACTTAATTATCTTGGGTCTTTAAGACTTCATCTTTAAACCTTTAATCCCCAACCTGATCTCAATTTAGACTCTGATCACCTCTTCCACAGATTTCAATAGCCTCCTAAATTGTTGACTTTAACATCAGAATTTATCTGGAACCTGACCACCTTCATCCCCAACAGCACTCCAAGCTTTGGCCAGGTGTGGTAGGTAGCTCATGCCTGTGATCCTAGCATTTTGGGAGACCAAGGCTGAAGGAGTCCAGGAGTTTGAGACCATCCTGGGCAAGACAGTGAGATCCCATCTCTATAAAAAGTAAAAATTAGCTGGGTGTGGTGGTGCATGCCTGTAGTCTTAGTTACATGGGGACCTGAGACAGGAGAATCACTTGAATCCAGGAGGTGAAGACACTGAGCCAAAAGCCAAAATCATACCACTGCACGCCAGCCTGGGCGACAGAGCATGACTCCATCTTTGAAAATATAAAATTTTAAAAAGTTCCAAGTTTCTACCCTTGGCACACCTGCAATTGAGTCAACACATCAGTGTGTCCTTTTTAAAAGGTTAAATCGGGTCCCATCACACCTCTGCCCAACATTACTTCCAGTCTGATCTCCTGACTCCCCACTTTGCTCATTCCACTCTTAGAATACCACCTCCCTGTTCCTGGAACAAACATGTCACGTTTATGCACCAGGATCTTTGCAATGGCTGTTCCTTCTGCATGGAACTCTTTTCTCCAAAATATTTGCATGGCACACTCCCTGGCCTCCTTTATGTCTTTGCTTAAAGGTCACTGTCCAATTTTGGCTTTCTCTCAATACCTGGTTTAAAAGTACACTCTATCTTCCCACCCAAGGACCTGCATTCCCTCTTGGCTTGTTCTATTTGTGTTTTTAGCCATAGCACTTATCACCTTCTAACATACTACCTCAACATATTTATTGTGTTTATTGTATTCTCTCACTAGAATGGATGCTCCCTGAGAGAGAAATGTTTATGTTGTATTCACTCCTGTATCTCCAGCACCTGGAACACTGCCTAGCACATGGTATGTGCTCAGCAAATATTTGCTGTATTACTGTTTTAAATGTCTTACTGACTTAGAGAAAAACTGATAACCCCAGGTCAATGCCCTATGTTTACCCTATGGCTTTTGCGTACTCCAGGGTTCTGGTTCACTCTGGGAGGCACTCGTTCACCTGCTTGAGAAACTAGGGGATGGGGAGCTCTTAAGGAGGGAAGACACAGTGAGTTCTACATTTCAGTCAATCCGTTCCAGTTCTGTGGGATAGCTCTGGGGAGAAGAAGGTTGGAATTATAAATCTACTCCAACAGTTCAGGCAAGAGGTGATGAGAACTTAAGAAATAGTTACCAGAGAAGAGGACAAGATGTGATGAACGACTGGATGTTGTGGGAAGGTGGGAATCTTACTGACTCCAGGTTTTTGGGTTGGGTGATTAAACAATATATTATTAGCAGTAATGGAGACAGAACACACAGGAGAAGCCAATATGGGAGTGGGAGTGAACATGGGGAGATAAATCTCCTCCACTTAGGTAAACATTCACTTCAGCAGTCCACTGATAAATACCCAAAGTGATTAAGACAAAAAGCTCACTCAGGGGTACAAAGCAAAAGGAATCCTACAAGAAGACCACTGTTTATGTTTCTATTCATCGGTGGCACCGAGCTGGCCTTCGGGCAGGCAGATTCCCTTCTAAGGAAAAAGGCAGCAGCGTCTTCTCATGGGTTAAAACTTTCAAGGTGATTATGCACCAAAACATATATACCCACCAAGATTCCTGCATACTTGACGACTTCCCCCATTTTGTTGAAAAAATAACTTCAGAATTAGGCAATCTTAAAAGGAACCCATGGTAAAGATCCCTGAACAAAGGTTTCCCAACTGCATAGCTAAATCCACCCTTTGCGTAACTGACATTTTTTAACCCTCATAGCCTTACCTGGAAAGTTCTCTCGATTTAGCTTAGGCCTGCGGATAATCACAAAGTCTTTGTCACTCCCTTTACTCTTCAGCCGTTTCCTTGGGGGGCTCTGCGGGAGGCCCAGGTTTGAGAGCAGTTCCTGGGGGATGTTCTCACTGTCGGGCTCCTCTTTCTCCAGGGCGGAGACCCCCATGCCTGAGAGCAGTTCAGAAGTCTTGCTGGAATCCCATCCCCACGTGAAGCTAGTGGCAACGTTGCTACTCAGGTCTGGAATCTCCTGGAGGTGCTTCCTGCAGAAGTGCACAATACCCCCGGTTCCTTTCGAAAACACCCATAAAGAATTCCAAGGGAGGCATTAAAGAAGCTAGAATTTATGCATTGTAGAGAACCTTTACAGCGGCTAACAGAATCGCCCTTTTTACACGCTCGCGGCGAGTTTTCAAGAAAAAAAAAAAAAAAAAAAAGAAATTTAAAGAACAAATCGAAAAGGGTTTTTGACTTACGATACTGCAGAAGGCCTCAAGAATTTCTCCCAGTGGAGGGAACAGACAAGGAGAGAGAGAGAGAGGGCAATCATACACTGATTGAAAACGGTGGCAGAAAAGCTCAATTAGGGAAGCCAAATAAAACCGCACGCTGATCCCCGCACTAAAGCATCCAGCCATTCACTCTTTCCACAAGAAGGGGCTAAGCAACCATTCACTTAACAGCCTTACAACAATATTAGCCAGTAGCGATATTCGGGGCCTAAAAGAATTATTAAGAGGGTCCATTCATGCTCTTCCACTTTTTGCAATCTGTTTACCTGTGCATAGCGTCCTCAGGTTCAGGAGTTTAAAATATGTGCATTAATTGCAGAGCTGCCGGCCTCCCGGATTCCCGCTTTGGCGCGCGGCGGCTCCGAGCTTGCTGCTCGGGCCCCCAGCAGCTAGACCCGCTAAGTCTAGCAACGTTCCATCCCAGCAGCGCGCGCAAGACTCTACAAGCCCGCTCTGCTTCGCGGGGCACTGCGGCCCCGCGGCCTGCTGGGAATTGTAGTTTCCGTCCTGTTTCGTAGTCCGACTGGCTCGCCCTTACTTCCTTCCCTGGCAGTTTTGCCGGCCTTCGAGATACCCACAACCCCCCGCGGGAGCGGGACTGGCTGGTCCACGGGGTAGGCGGGGAGGCGGAAGCGGGCGGCGCTAAGGCTGACTGGGAAATGTCAGCAGCTTGACTGTAGACGGATATTCTTTTCCCGGGAGCCTGCAGGCCTTCTGGTGATCGCCAGCGCTATCGTCTCTGAGCGTGGATCCCAGAACCTAGACAGCTGTGGCGGCCGCCGTTTCCTGGTCCCATCCAGATGCTGTCTGGCGAGATCGGACGGTGAGCCTGAGGGGGAACGCGTGAGACGCTTTGGTGTCTGGGGACCCGGGCCGAGCGCAGGCGGCAAGAGAGGGGACCCGGGAGACCCCGAGTGGCCGCCGCCGCCGCCGCGGGGCCCACATCTCTGGCCGCTGAGTGGTGGCTGTAGCCCAGCCCGCCGGCCAGGTGAGAGGCTGCGAACCGCGGGCGTCACACCTGTTCGTCCCTTTGCCAGGAAGCTGCTTTCTCCTTCGGGGAGGAGGCGGCCCTTAGAATTGGGTCTGTGGACAGGATCCTTCCTTTATCTGTAAAATACGCACAATAGCTAAAAACGCAGTTGGAACGAAAAACAGTGGTTTAATTTTAGGGGAGCCGGAGACCCCAGCGGGTCCTTTGTGGTGGGAAGGCTGCGCATGCCCTTGCAGCCTTGACAGGTCTCATAAATAGTAGCATGGGAATAAATGAAAGGACTGTATTTTGAAACGGGCTTTACCCATGCAACGCAGGGGGCCTCCAGCAAAGACTTTTGGTTGCTTGCTGACGCTCAGCGGGCTACGTGTGTTTGCGTCGCCGCCTGAAAGCGAGCTGTTTTCAGCCTATCTGCTGAGAAGATTTTGGGGGTGGTTAAAGTAGGGAGGGTGACATATTCTAGGTACAATGACCATGCGAAATCTATTGGGCAAACTATACTACAACTGTGACCCCGAGAAAACAGTGGAAGAGGGAAGGGGGATGAATTCTAAACCTCATGAAGATGAAGATTTATGAAGTTCCTAAGGAAGCATAACATCTTCATCGCATATTAGAATATTCAGTGATGCTGTATGACACACCCTCTGGTTTCCTTGAAAAAATGATTCGCTCTGTAGTGAAATTAAACCTTCCTGGCCCAGGTATGTGTTTGTTTCAGCCTTGGTCCTTAGCTTGAAAAGTAACTGCCTCTTGAGGAAGGAAGGAATTCATGAACCTTTAGCTTGTTCTTGAAAGGTGAGATTGGTGTAAATAACGAATCTGTTCACAACTTGATTTTGATTGGAATTAGGTGCAGAATACTAGGCTGAGCCAGTCATTAAACTAATGTATGGAAAACATTTAAAAATGCAATATCCTGATTTTTTACACAAAGTGACCTTTATGTTACTTTGGCCAAGGAGAAAGCAGTTGCCTTAGTTTGACTCTACATCCTTTCCCTTAAGATTGCAAATCATAGGAGAAAACATTGACACAAAAATTATAATTTCCTTCAGGAAAGGGAACAAAACAGAACCTGTAAGCTAATGGAGGAGAAAGAATAAACAAAAATATGTAAGATGCCATAATATGCCAAAATAATGAGAATAAACAATTTTGAGATGTAATTGCAAGAGCCCACTTTAGATATAGATCTCATAAATAGGAAGGTCTAATCGATGAGATGATTCTAAATTTAAAGATGAGAAATATTTTTGTTCAGTCTTGGTTTTACTAGGAAGTTGCCTGATTAATAGAATACTTGCAACATCTCAATTAGTGAACACAAGGTCCTCTGTAGGACTTCAGGGGTAGCCTGTCAACTTTGAAAATTAGTCTAATAGTTTGCCCCAGTAACAGAAATACTTTATCTTCCTAATATGGGAATAATTTTTTTACATTCCTTCTAATCATGGCTATTACCTTAGTATAATAAATACAAGTTTAAATTGGTATAATCGATTCTTTTTAATGTAAGGAATTGTGTCCATTGAAGATGAGATTAGTAGGTACATAGAGGTTGTTCTCTGGTGACAAAGAACTGTATTGTGATTGCTATTGATGCATCTTATTTTTTCTGATTAATTTCATTGGTTTTATTTCACTCAGTGCACTCCGTGTTCCATTTTAATGAGAAATATACCATTTTTCTAGAATTGGAATTACTCTATCAGTATCCAAGACAAAAGCCATTTTTAAAATAATACAAATGAAATTAGGATGAGTAATTACTAGTACCCTTTTGGAAGCTTCAGATAGAATACAAAGTGACTGTAAATCGGCAAATCTACAGTGACTGTTTATCATACAACATGAGATGCTTGAGAGAGGCAAAAGCAATGTCAGTTAAGCAGTCATAACCGCAAATTAAAAGATGATCAATATCAGGGAACAGGAGGGGCCAAAAAGGACTGGCAGTCATAACTGACTACAAGTTGTAAATATATATTTAGTAGGTATGCCATTATTGGAGATGAAATATGACAGAAGAGATTCTATTTAAACAGAGGGGCTGTATATTTTTCCTTAGTTCTGTCATAACACGAAGTAAATGCTAAAATTTCTTTAGTTTTTTACTTATATTATTTAGCTTAGGGGAGCAAATGACTGAGAAACATTACATATCAAGAAGTTTCTATCTGCCAATAAAATTTCAATAGGACCTTTTTTCCTTGATTAATTTTAAAGTAGATCTTTAATTCATTGCAATTTAATGCTCTATGATAAGCAGATTGGGGCAAGAACAAAAAGGTTCTAATTTGCTCTGTGTTTTCCACTTTTCCCATGTACAGTAGAGTCATATATTACTCTTAAATCAAGTAATGGTAGTATAATCTTAAGGCAAAAAGTTTGTGTTAAATTTTGTATTAAACATGATTTAGCATTCTGTCTTGCTATATCTAAAAGAATCACGGGAGAATGTTCCTAATTTGTTCTCTGTGAAGACTGAAAAAAATAAATCATTAAGGAATTTAAATTGCATTAAGAAAGTACGTCTGGACTGGAGAAGAGACGTGTAATTATGATCCAGGCTCTATAGTGAAGATGCCTCTCTTTGAATCCTAGCTTTACCATTCACCAACTCTGTTAACTTGGACAAATTACTCACCCTCTCGGCACTTTTTTTCTGTTAAACAAGGAAACGAACAGTCCTTTCTTACTAGGTTGTAACATCTAATTTGATAAAGCATGGTAGGTACTAGTATTAATACAATGCTTAAAATTTGGTTAACACATACCAAATGTTAGATACTAATTTTTAAAAAATTCTTTATTAGGAAACGCTTTACAGATTATTCTCTATCAAGATGTCTTGCAATTTCTATATATGAAATCTTTAAGAATTCAGTAACATTTCAGTTCTTTTTTTTATATGCTTACATGATTGCTACCTCTTCTCTTCATGCCTTGCAAAAGGTAAAGCGGTTTGTAGGTATGCTTTACCTCAGGGGCTTGCCACATTTTCGAATTCAGGTTACCTGGTTGGTTCACCAACTCAGCTCTTAGATATATTTCTTTATGAAATAATTATGACTTTTTTTTTTCATTTTCAGAATGGAAGTAATAGTCTCCTTGCAGTAGTCTGTGCCTTAAACTGAACTCTCTCTATACCTGAAATCTTTGAGAATAACAATTATGTTTGGAAGATTTAAATTTTTATTTTTGGTGGAAAATTGTTGACTTATTCACTTCTGGTTCTGGTTCTTTTGATTTTTCATTGTGATTTTGAGTTGTCTTTTAGTTTTTATTTCATATATCTGAGTAAAAATACAGATACATTAAGTAAAATTTCTCATTGGTACCTAATGATCATCAGACTCAGATATTTAAGTTAACAGTATTTGAGTCTGATGAATCATTAGGTTCCAGTCATAAATTTTTCATTTGGTTTCAGAATCTTTGGTTTTGACAAAATTTTTGTCAGTGTTTTGTTTGTATTCTGATCAACTACTACCCATTCTTTCTCTGTCTCTCAAAACATTTGGAATTCTTCAAACTTCAAAATTATCTTAACCTCTAAAATTTCATCAAAGGGTGTTTGACCTGAAAAACTATTATCAGCCATAAAGTACTCAGGAAACAGTACTTCAAGTCAGTAACATTAACATGCTAATTATGAAACCATTATAAAGGCATTTGAAAGTAATTCGAAATAATATTTTGATGATTGGAAAAAGATTGAATTGGATTTTAAATATTTAAGACTTTCAGAACTGATATTTTGAAGGGTACGATATGCCCACACATCAGGCACTAAAATCTGGTAGTTTTAATGAATTGGCATTTTGATTTTGAGTATAATCAAGTTTTGCTACTGTGGGCTTAATCACATGGCACTGAATTTTTATTTGCCTCCTCATTTTAGTATCATCGTTGTCGTCATCATCATCATCATTATCATCTCCTTTCTTCTTCTTTCTTAAACCTTGCAACTCCTCACTTGAATGTTGGTACAAGGTTAAAGATATGGACTTTGAAACTATTATTTTCTCATCTCAAGTTCAGAAAACCAATTTTTATCTCCAATTTTATGGGATCACTTGTCCTAGCTGTATGTCATAAGAAGGCAATATATTTAAGCCTCAACAGAAATAGATGGTATGGTAAACAGAATAATGTTTACCCTAAGAATGTCTATCTCCTAATCTCTGGAATCAGTAAAAATGACTAGATTATTCAGGTAGTTCCAGTGTAATCAGATGAGCCTTAAAAAATAGAGATTTCAGGCATGAGGAGAAGTTAACAAGCCATTGCGCTTTTAAAATATACAGGACCACACACACATACACAGAAAGAGAAGTATGTGAGGACATAGTTATGTTAATTTGTTTGACTATGGTTTGTATTTCACTGTATATGTACAGTATATTAAAACATTACTGTTGTGTACTTTAAATGTATACAATTAGAAAAAGATATACAGAGCCACATGCAAAGAC